GTTCCTTCTATCCTGACCCATCCTCCCTGGTAGAAGATAGGAGGAGACCATTGCATTCCTTACTTCTATCTAAATTTATTATCAGGAGAGAATCTGCTACTCATTCATGCAAAGATAAGTGATTGGTAAATGGTTCCTTCCATGACCCTTCCCAGGGGTATTTGCATTTAACTGGGCGGGAAGGGCTCGGGGAGTTTGTAAGCCAGAGGAATGAAGTTTTTGTTTTGAAATTAGAAACACCCCCAAGCAGGTGGGAGATCTGTTTTGGGGTTTTTCTCAAAGAAGGGAAGACCTTCTCTGTGCCTCCAAAATCACTATAGGTAGCGCTTGGTTCATCTCTTTTGGCCCTAAGGCCAATTGTGACTGGAGTCCTCAAAACGGCTAAACTCCCTGGCCTCAATTTCCTCATCTAGAAAACGAAGGGGTTCAGCTTTGGAGATTCTTCCAACTCTTGATCTTTGATTCTGTGTTACTGTGATTGGAAGAACCTACAGATGTTTCTCCCGGAGAAGAGAAGGTTTAGGGAGGACATGTCGGTTGTCTTCACATATTTCCTGGACTGTCACATAGAAGAGGGATTCCAGTTGGTCTGTCTGGCCCTTTTGAAGTCTAGGGATGCTAGGAACCCCAAAATGCAAGGGTACTGGTCATGGATCTGCCTGGAAAACTTGAAGTTTTGAGAAGGAAGATTTAAATTCAACCTAAGGGGAAGCTTCCAAACAAAAATAGGATGGGCTGTCTTGGGAGACCTCAAGTTCTTCATGACTTGAGGGCTTTTAGATAGCTAGGTAGATAAGGCATTTATTAAGTGCTTACTATGTGCTTGGCACTGCCCAAGCAAAAAGATGTCACCTGCTTTCAAGACACATACTAATGAGGAAAGACAAAGTGGGAAGGGGAACTGTAAAAGGGGGTAGGATATGATGGGATGGCTCAGAGTAGGCTTTGAACTAAAGAGGAGGCCTGGGACCCCATCGAGATAAGGCCAAAACTGACCTGTCAGAGCCCAGGGACCCAGGGAAGAAGCCTCAGTTACCAGAGGGAGAAGGTGGAGATGTTGGTCTGCATAGAAGAAGCTTAGAGAGGAGAGAGCCAGGAAGTAGCTCTGGAGCAGCAGAGGCTCCGTTGGCACTATTGTCGTGAAGAGTCTGGCTCAAATACGAGGTTGGACTAAATGGCTCTTCCAACTCTGAGATTCTTTGTCTTTTTTTAATTTTAATTTTTATTATTATCCCTTGTTTTTATAGCATCTTCATTTCTGACTATGTCCCCCTTACTCTCTCTTGTGAGCCACACTCAGTCCTTATGACAAAATAAAAAATGAAGAAAAAACCCAAAACAATTCAGCAAAACCAATGTATGTGTAATATTCCACATCCATACACTCCTTACTTCTACAGAGAGAAGATGGTGTCCTTTCTCAAAGCTCTGAGGCCAACTTGATCATTATAATTATAATGTTGGTTTTTTTGTCCTCTCCTTTTTCTTTGTTGTCACTATTATTTTTCTGGTTCTATTTATTTCCCTCTGCATAAGTTCATATAAGTCTTTGCATGCTTCTCTGAATTTTTCATATTCATCACTTCTTATGGTACAGTAATGTCCTGTGACTTTCATTTTCTAAAATTTGTTTAGTTCTTCCCCGACCTATGGACATTTGCTTTGTTTCCAGTTCTGTGCTGCTAGGAATATTTTGGGTCTTTTCTGTCTCTGACCTCCTTGAGGCATGTGCCTAGAATCAAAGGGTGTAGACCTCTTAGTAATTTTTAGCGTAATTCAAAATCGTTTTCCAGAATGGTTGGACCAATTCACAGCTCCAACAACAGTGATTTAATAAACCTGTCTTATAGCCCCTCCGATGCTGACTCTTTCCATCTTTTGTCATCTTGCCAATTTGTTGGATATAAGGTGAAACCTCAGAGTTGCTCTGATTTGTATTTTCCATCAGTGATTTGTAGCAGTCTTTCATATGATTGTTAATAGTTTGCAATTCTTTTGAGAACTCTTTATTTTTTGATCACATCCATTGGAGAATGATTCTTGGTCTTATATATTTGTGATAGTTACCTTATGTATATATTGGATACCAAATCCTAATCGGAGATATTTGATACAAGTTTTTCCCCCCAGTCGACATTTTCCCTTCTCATCCTTACTGTGTAGATTTTGTTCATGCAGAAGTCTTTCAATTTCAAGTGATCAAAGTTATTTATTTCATCTTTTGTGATTGCCTGTGGCCATTATTTGATTTGTTTTATCACTTTGTAAGAGGCAATGTGCCATGGAAGTAATACTTGAATTGGAAAACCTAGGTTCGAATGTGACCTTTAGCTATGTGACCCTTAGGATGGCTCTTTGTTTTAGTTTCCTCATCTCTACTTTCATACATTAGTGAATCTGTGATCTCAGCCATGTTCTTCTTCTCTCCAGGGATGCAGATGACAACCTATCCATGTTCTTCTGTTCTGTGTGACTCTTGTCTTTGTGTTCCCCTGAATCTCAGGGGTTCACACAATGTGTAGGCTGACAGCCGTTTTCTAGATCCCTTGACATTGTGCGGATACCAGTGTAGAACTCAGCTCTTCACTGCTTCTCTCTCATTCTTGATACATGATCCAGCTCCTTCCCTAGTCCTCCATTTCTCTGATGACATCCACTTTTGCACAATTCCTCATTTTCAAAGTCATGCATCCTGCTCCCAAAATAGGCAACTGAGAGATTATCAGTAACTACTTACCAACCTGTATGCCTCCTTTCCAATCTCTACAAAAATGTTTTAAAAACATTTTATTGATGTCTTTTGTTTTGTTTTGTTTTCTTTTTTATATATATATGGCATTTTATTTTTCCCCCTAATTACTTATTTTTTAAAGTTAATTAATTTATTTTTAGTTTTCAACATTCACTTCCATAAACTTTTGAGTTTTCAATTTTCTCCCTCTCCTTCCCTGTGTATCTTGTTTTTTACAAAAAAGATATCACCTTTGTTTTTGAACACATCTCTCTCCCTTCTCGTCTCCTCCCACTGTCTCCTGTAACAAAAATCAAAAGAGTAAGAAAAAAAAAGTCCAGCCAGAACAACCAACATATAAACTGAATCTGACAGTTTAGACAACATTCTGTACCCATGGTCCCCTACCTCTGTAAGAGGGGAAGGAATTGCATTCTCTGAAAAATTTTTGTGGAAATGACCTAACCACCATCACCGTGAAGGTGGGACAAAGGAATAAGTGTTTGCAATTATGTTTTCCGGCAGAGCACATCTTTCTCCTCATGCAGCTAACTGCCTAAAAAGGAGGGAAATTTCAAGATCTCATTGTACTTTTTGTTTGTTCACCAGGTTGGTTTTTTCTCTTTGTGGCCTTGGAACTTAGCCCAGTGCCTGACATCTATGTCAGGTGCTTAATAAATGCTAGTCAAATGAAAGAAAAATTTAAAAGCATTGTATTTGGTAAAGCAAATTGTACTTTTATAGAATGCTGAGCTCCTTCAAATCCAACCTCAGATACTTAGTAGCTGTGTGACCCTGAGCAAATAAATCTCTTAACCATTGCCTACCTCAGTTTCCTTATCTGAAAAATGGAGGTAACAAAAACACCCTGCTCCTCCAGAGTTGTTGTGAGGATCAAATGAGATAATTTTTGGTAATTTGCTTTGCAAACCTTAAAGCTCTGTATAAATATTGGCTATTGCTATTAAGCTTCTTGAGGGCAGGGATTGTCTTTTGCCTCTTTTTATATCCTGGTGCTTAGCACTGTGCCTGGCACATAGTAGGTACTTAATAAATGTTTATAGATTGATTATTATTCATGTTATTAATGTCAAGATTGTTCAAGAGTTCTTAAAGACAGTCGTGATTTCCTCATCTGTAAATTGAGAATGATAATTGCTGCAGTACTTACTTCATATGAGTCAGCTCATCACAGTGAACAGATGAGGCCACCTTTGAAGTCCAAAAAAACTCTGGGATTTGAGTCTTGCTCCTGGCACCTCCTGGCTGTGTGACTATGGACAAGTTACTTGATCTCTCAGTGACCCCATTTGAGTGATGGACTCTCCAAGACTAGAAGTTGTGGGAAATTGTTGATCTTTAACAGTGGAGGGAGTTTCCATACTGGGAGTCTCCCAAATTGATGATTTGTACCAAAAATTAGACCCCCACCCAAATCCTACCTCCCAGGATTGTTGTGAGGATTAAATGAGATAAGGTATGTAAAGTGCTTTGCAACCAAAGTGCTATATAAATGCCAGCTAGTATTTTAATTACTATTTTATGACATTCAAAACCTACTTCTTCCTGGCAGTTTCTCAGTCCCCTGACTGTGTGGGTCAGTAAAGGTTATGAACTGGAGACCGGTGGTATTTGATGTTGCCCCCAAACCTGAGATTCAGCAGTTTAAGGCTGTGGGCATGAGAGGAGGGTTGCTCTCTCTGAAGAGGGGCCAGAGGGAAATCTGATCCTATATGTTTTGAGCAGGACCTGGCCAGGAATTTGACTTGGGCCAAGCTCTTTTCTCTCTCTATTCCTTGTGCCTTGGTTTTGATTCATTTTCTGGGCAGTGGGGGTCAAGAGATGCTCAGGCAGGGCCCCTGGAGGTACCAACATTGAGTTCCACAAGAGCCCAGTATTGGGTGTACAAATGGTCATTTTGGCCAGCGTTGGGTGGAGAGGGTGTAAGGCTATTGTCTGGATAGGGCTTGGCATCAGGATGGAGGTTGCTTCTTGTGAGTGCCTTTGGAGCCCCCAGGAGTGGATGAGATTTGAATTCAGGGTTGATGAGTGTTCAAGTATGGGAGTATAAGGTCTTCCAGGCTTGTGGCTCATTCTGCCCGGTTAGTAATCCTTGGTCACATTTGTATCTTGAAACAACTTGTGCAACTTCCTGTCTTGGTGGGGCCAGTGGAGGCTGGGTGAGAAATAGCACCCCGAGAAAAATGAGGAAACTCTGGGTGCGAAGGGAGGGCCTTGGGAGATGTCTGAGCACCAAATGGGGCTGCGGACCTCGGGCTTCAGAGCCCCACAGACAGGAACATTCTGGCCATCCTTCCCAGAGTGACTCCCTGCCTGCCTGGTGGGAGAAGGGGGCTGTAAGGTACATAATACTACCCTTGGTCAGTAGGGGATGGCTAATATGGGTGGGGTGTAGGCCTTGGCCAACTACATGGGCCTTCGGATTACTCTTTGGGAGGGAAAAGGGATGATGGGAGATCTGGTGAAGGGAGTTAAGCCTAGGGAGGGTCTGGGCGGGGCAGTGGGGAACTGTGGCTTAGGGTACTTTGTCAGAGATGAACCAGCACTGGTTTTAGTGGAGAGAAGTACAGAAAGAGGCACCAGGCTTATCACCAGCCCCAGCTCTCAGTGACCAAATCTTGGCTTAGACACTGCTTACCACTGATTTTTGAATATACTTAGGAGCTCGGAAGGAAGGGCAGTGCCCAGCCCTATAGAATCAAAGTATCTGAGCCAGAAGGGGCCTAGATCATAGAATCTTCCATCTATGTCTGAAAGGGGCCTCAGAAACCACTGAGTCCATTCCCTTCATTTCACAGATATGGAAGCTGAGGTCCAAGGAAGCTGGGGGACTTGCCCAATGTCACACAGGTAGAGAAGGTGGCAGTGTCTTCTCTCTGTATGAACCTTGATCATGCCATTTACTTCTATGAGAGATCTTACAAATCATTTAGGCCAAAGGTTCTTAACCTGGGCTCTGTGAACTTGTTTTATTAAAAATTATATATATATATATATCATATAATATATTTAAATACATTTATTGTATTATATATTCTATTAAATATATAACATAATATAGTTATGTAAATATATAGTTATTAACTATATATTATATTATAATATATATTTATATATAGGTAACTATATCTCACTATAATTGTTTTCCCTTGTAATCCTATATATTTCATTTTATTCATTTAAAAACATTATTCTAAGAAGGGTTCCATAGACTTCACCAATCTGCTAAAGGGATCTGACATACAAAAAAAGATTAAAAATTCCTGATCTATTCCAGTCTCCATATTTTGCAGATTGGGACCTGAGGCTGGGAGAAGGTATTTGAATCACCCAGGGTGACACAGTTAGTGACTAACAGAAGCAGAATTCGAATCCAGGTTTTCTGATTCTAAATCCAGAGCTCTTTCTATTCCATTGTTTGTCCATCAACAAACATTTCTTATGGGTCCTGATTATCTACAGGAAACTAAATTGTGCTGAGGAGGGGCACAAGGAAAGAGAGATAGCCTCTGACTATAATGAGTATACGGTCTTGTGGGGCAGGTGACATGAGTGAGGCACTGCCTGCTTCACAGGGACAGCCAACAATCCTAGATGCTGTAGCAATGCTAAGGGTGCTGTCTAATGTCTAACTGTCTCATACCTAAGGAGTGGTATGGCTCTTCAAAGTTGGGGGAAATCCTTTCAACCTGCAATTAAGAGAGCTCATGTGAGGCCTGAACTGGTGTTTGAAGGATAGGGAGTCAGGGGAGAAGACGGACAGAAGAGGTTACTGGGGGTGGGACTGGAGGGTACTTTCCTGGGGGCCAGAGACTGGAGCAGCCGAAGGTTTACGTAAATGGACAGTGGAATCCTATCCTGGCCCAGCCTAGGGATGACTCAGCATGATGGAGCAGCAGAGTGGAGGGATGAGACTTAGAACTGACTCCTTCCTTTCTGGGCAGTGAGGTGAAGCCCCCTGGCTGCCCGTTGACTATGGGCAAAACTAAAGATCCTATGTTTGTTTGTTTGTTTGTTTGTTTGTTTGTTTGTTTTTTAAAGGCAATTGGGGTTAAGTGAGTTGCTCAGGGTCACACAGCTAGAAGATCCTATGTTTGAGTCCCAGTTTTAACATTGACTAGTCTGACTTTAGGCAAGTAACTTCACTTCCCTGAGCCTCAGTTTCCTCATCTGTAAAACAGAGGTGATCATATTTGCCCCACCTGCCTCATGGGGTTTTTAATTAGTCGTTTTATTTTTGGACTGGACCTGTGACTTCATTGATAGAGGGAACTCCCTCTCTCAATGTAACTCGGCACCCAGGCTGCAACTTATTGTCTCAGAGAGTTTTGGGAGGCACTAAGCTAAATGACTTATCCAGGGTCACACAGACAATCTGTGTCAGAGGACGGACTAGAACTCAAGTCTTCCTGACTCTGAGGCTAGCTTTTTAGCCACTATATCACACTGACTCTCAGAGGATGAAATGATAAAGTGCTTTATAACTCTAAAGTACTACATGTTATCATCATCATAGGCGAATCTCTTGACTTCACTGAGACCCAGTTTCCTCATCTGGAACAAGGACCAAACCATGATGATAAGAAGGATGATGATGATGATGATGATGATGATGATGGAGGAGATGGACTCAGTGGCAGCTCAGATCTGTGATGCTATGATTTACCTCAAAAGGAAAGTGTTTTGGAGGAAAGTGTTTTGAAGTCTTTAAAGCTCTATAGGAATAGCAGCTGTAAGCCTATATTAGGAAGGCCTTGGATTCTGAGGAGGGTTTACTTTCTCTCTTTCTTACTTGCTTTCTCTCTTATGTGCCCTCTCCTGGGTGTCTGTTCAGCTCCTGGGTTCTCTTTGCCTGGCTTCCCCAGAAGAAGCCCGGACACTGAGACTAGAGGCTATTTATGTGAACAAAGATGGAAGAACCGGGGGAAGTTGTGGGGAGATCAGGTGCCTCAGCTCAGCCTTTTCTACCCCAATCCCATGACTGGAGTGGTAGGAAGAGTGAGGGAGAGGAGAGGTCAGGCCTCCAGGGGGTGGAGAGTGCCCTGGACTCACCACTGCCTTGTCACTGTGGCAGAGGGAAATACCCTTTCCTATCTTTGGGATAAGGGTAAAGAAAGTCATGGGGAAGCTCAGTGGTTGGCTCTTTCTCCAGAAGAGGCACTTCTGGGTTTGGTTCCTGGGATCCTCCAAGAGCCTCCTAAGTCCTTCCTGCCAGCTGGGGCTGGAGGGTTAGCAGGGGAACCCCTTCTGGGCTCCCAGAAGTAGCAGAGGATGGAGCCTTGGACCTTGGAGCGGGTTAAGCCAGCAGAACCAAGCTATAGCAGGTCTTAGCAAAGGCCTGATTATGGGCCTAGTGGAATGTAAGCTCTTTGAGGACAGAGAGGGTCCCACTTTTGTATTTACATCCTCGGTGTCTAGCACACAGATGCACTTAATCAATACTTGTTTTTTGATTGGTTGAGTGAAGGGAGTGCCCACATGGATAAAGTCACAGATGCTTGAAGCAGGCACTGTGCTATTCACTGGGCTACAAAGCCAAAATAAGACTATCTCTGCCCTCAAGGAAGCTAGAGGGACCCCTGCCAAACAGCCGTTGCCTGTCCATCCAGAGGATCAGTATCTAGTTTCTAAATTCCAGGGCCAGGCACTCTTGCCCTCAGGAAGGCTTTCACACAGCATTGTGTCAAGGAGCATTCGCTATGACTGGTGGCGGCTAGTTGGATGGAGGGAGGGAAAGGACATCATTCAAGACCCTCTCTGGGTGGGTTTCTTTATTCTCTGAAAGACTTTGCCTTCAATCAATTAGGTAGCAAAGTGGATAGAGCACTAGGCCTGGAATCAGGAAGATCTGAGTTCAAATCCACCCTCTGATGCTTGCTAGCACTGTGATCCTGGGCAAGTCACTTAAACTCCGTCTACCTCAATTTTCTCATCTGTAAAATGGGATAATAATAGCACCTTCCACTCAGGATTATTATAAAGATCAAATAAGACAACATTTGTAAAATACTTAACCTAGTGCCTGGGATATACTATGTGCTTGACAAATGTTTATTCCCTTCCATCCTTCTTTCCTTCACTCCTCTGGACTTGAGGCCTTCTGTCTTTACTGACATCAGATGTGAGGAATTGGACCCAAACCCCAGATCAGACTGGAGTCTGATGGATCTCATTTCTGCGTGAGGTTCATGTCTCTGCCTTCTAACAGAACAGGGCCAGAAGGACCAGTACCAGAGTAGGCCTGCTAGAACTTTATGATTCCTAGAACTTTGGAACTGGAAAGGCATCCTAGAAATCACCTAGATCTGCCCCTTTCATTTTAAGAATAGTATAGTAGAAAGGGCACTGTGCTTGGAGTCTCAGATCCTGAGTTCAAATCCTAGGTCTGGACTTGTTACCTGGGTGACCTTGGGTAAATCATTTCTCCATCTGGATCTGTTTCCTCATCTGTGAAATAAGGGGCCAGAACCAATTTCTTACTTACAATATCACTAATGTGAAAATATGTTTAATAGGAATGTATATGTATAGCCTATATCAGATTCCTTGCCATCTTGGGGAGGGAGGTGGGGAGGGAGGGGGAGAAAAATTTAAAACTCAAAAGCTTATGGAAGTGATTGTTGATAAATAAAAATGAATTAATTTAAAAAATGAAAAAAAAATAAGGGGCTAGACCAGATGACCTCTCAGTTCCTCTCTAGATCTGTGACCCCATAAATTGTGGACGAGGAGACTTAGGCTTAGGGAGTGGAAGTAATGTCCTCAAGGTCACATACTTAGTTTTGGAGAACCAGGTGTGCAGCCTTGAATCCTTTGTATTCTACCACACTCCTCTCACTTCCTCCCCCTTCTTGCTTGGTTTGGGTTTGTTACTGATGTTGCTCTATCCCCCCAGATCTTCCCACCATCCCCTTGCTCCCACTGCATCGCAGCTATCCATCACAGAACTCAGAAGTGAAGGCCAGCCAAGACAGGACCTGGCATGGCCACCTGGGCATATACGGTGCACTCACAAAATAGTTGGACTGCTTTGATGAATGAAAAGTAGGATAAGCATATGTTTTCTGTTGGTCTTGGGAACACAGATATAGAGCTGGAAGGGGAATTAGAGGATATCTAGTGAAATGTCCTCATTTTGTAGATGAGGGAACTGAGTCCCAGAGATTCAACAGGTCAACAAGAGTCTACTAGGCATTGGAGGTACAAGGAAAGGCAAAAACAGTCCCTGCCCTCCAGGACCTTACAGTCTAATGAGAGAGACAACATGCAAACAGCTCTGTCATAAAAGATATAGCCAAAGGTAAATGGGGAGGGGGGGCGGAAATTTCAGAGGGAAGGTAC